CTTTTTGAAATGGCTTTTTGTTGACTATAAAAACAATTAATGAAGGACAGGTGCATCCACCTTCAATCTCCTTTTTCGACTGTCTTCAAAATGTTCAGAGCACACTTTGGTATCAGTTGTCCCTCTTAAGTCTTTGCTTCGATCTTGCTTTATTCTAAAAGTCCATATCTATTTTAAAACAGAGTTAATGATTATTGGATCAAGACAAAGATTAACTGATCAATGAAATCAGAATTGATGAGCAAATTTTCAAGAGAGTGGACAAGACCAAATCTTTGGGTCTTACTATAGATGACCAACTGTCTTGGGGTAGCCACGTTGAAGAGACTTGCAAGAAAGTCTCTTCAGCTATAGGCGCCCTAAAACGTGTACGGCCCTTTATATCCAAAGAAACTGCAATTCAAATTTATAACGCTTTGATTATGCCTCATTTTGATTACTGCAGCCCCGTCTGGGACTGTTTAAGTGGCTACTTAAGCGATAAGATCCAAAAATTACAGAATCGAGCAGCCAGAATTATTACTAAATTGCCCTTTGATACAAGCTTAAACCATTTTCTCTCCACCCTCGATTGGGAGAGGCTATCTCTTCGACAAGAGAAACAAAAAGCCCTAATGATGTATAAAATTATGAACAACCTTGCTCCCGAATATCTACAAAGTCTTTTCTCTCAGCGTCACTCTGTGTACGACAGAAGAAACTCTGAGGGAAGACTGGCCCTGTCCAAACCAAACACCAATTATTTGAAACGAAGCTTCTCTTACAGCGGGGCCATATTATGGAATAAATTGGCCAGTAACTTAAAAAATGCTTCATCCGTTAACCACTTTAGGCGAAATCTTAACGTAATCGATATGTAGGATTCCCACACGGCAATCTTGGAAAGGAGTTAGTCAATCTAAGTTTTTATTATGTAACTGATGATTTTCCGTGTTTAAATAAAGATTTACATACATACATAGATACACATACAAAAGAAACTGAACACAACCATGATATTTAGAAATCGAGATGAGACAAAATAATTTTTCGTGTTTCTGACTATTTACTCATGCAAACTACAAATCTTATTAGACATTTTGATGTGTAGTATCGCTGAGTATTTCTACGAGTTGTGCCGTATTTTGACGAGCTCTTAGAGCAAGTCAAAATACACATAAAGAATAAGAATACGCAGCGATATGACACACCAAAAAGTCCAATAACTTAATTATTATCCAACACGCCAAATTTTTATTTCAGTGCGGGAGAATTCCGCGGATATTTATTTACGGGGAGTCCGTGGCAGAAGTATTTGAAGCGGAACGTAATTGGTGCATTGTCGTGCTGCTGTTTGTATTTTCTTGGATAAACGATGAAATTTCGTTGTCTTAAACTGCTTTTCTAAGTTTGATTTATCTAATAAACTTAGATCAATATTCGCCAGCCATTCCGAATCTCCGACGTCAGAAAAATGATTTAAATTGTCCGCCTTTTTTTTTTTCGGTAACTTTGATCCAATTCGTCGCTTGCTTGATGCGAGAAAACCTGTCTAGCCGGTTCTCTGGAGTTTTATACCGTAAACCAACACTGAACGTGCAAACAGATTCATCCGCGCCAAGGTGTTTGTTTAGGCCCTTTATTGTAATTTATGCTTATCTTGTACCTTCCTTTAATTAGTTGCATGTTAGTTAATTGGTCTCTTGATAATGGAGTCATGATGATTCCGAAAAATCGAGCAGCAATAGATCTTTCCTGGATTTTTATATAGACATTTACTTCAAATTTTTATTTTCGTTCCTAGGCCCCCACATTTTGACCCAGAATCTTCGCGAAAATGGCGAAATTTTTAGGGAAAATAATAATTTGACGAAGTTATAGGTTTATATCTTTAGATGCAATAGTGGATTTAAATTATTTGACTATTATTCTATCTAGAAATGTTAAAATATATCCGAAACCTGAAGAAATATCCATGTAAATAGGGTTCCAAAATATGCTTCTCGATAGAAGCCATGGCTGGACCGTGAGCGCGCAGTCAGTACTATAAGCGGCGATTTTATTCAGAATAGGCGCATTTCTTAGATGTACCAGTCAATCAAGAGAGCCTGGGATCTACTAAACATTTTGGTACAAATTCGAAACTTTTGGATCAAGAAATATTTATGTAAATCGGCGTTTCAAAACAAGGTGTTTGCAGATGTATGCGACCCTGCGGGGCATTTGGCCCTTCTTATCTTTTTCACCATTCAGATGTTTTGCCAATATTTATGATAGATATCCATTTCGATTCTCTCCTCGATTCTTACATCCGGTGATTCTCTTTTTGTAGAAAATAAACCAAATTTTATTTCCTTGCTCAGGTGGCTAAATAATGTAAAGCCCTGTCAGGCAAAGTATCTGCGTTTGGTACAAATCTTGGAAGTTAGCGTCCAATATATTTGTGGGTAGTGCGTCATTATGCGAGGTGAAAAAGTATGCTAAGTAAACAAGTGTGGAAAAATAAAACACAATAAAAGAAACAGGTTGAAGCGCCAACCCAGTATCCCCCAGGGAAACAAACTGGTCTCTATCAGTAAGATATGATGTGAACCAATCTTTTGTGACTCAATATTGCTTCGTATCTCTTGTTTCGCGCTCAGGATAAAAAAAAAGTATATCGCTGTTTTCAAAGTTTTATGGAAATTGCTTGCCTCTGACTGTTGTTATTTCTGAAACAGACGTTTCGGCTAGTGTTTAAGTCTTCATCAGTAATATGAAAAGCGAAGATCGTTATCATACGCTATTTAAAGTTAAAAACGTGACGCGAAGCTTGCGCGCGTAACTTTGTATTTGATGCTCGCGCGAGGTCTTTATAGGCTTCTGGAAGTACGATGTGATCGTTCCCAGCATTCGGATCCAAAGTAAAGTGCCAGGCTTTAAGGAAAAGTCTCTCGTGGTAATTAGATTCGAAACCAACGACCCTGCTCTTTTCTTTTCTCCTTATTCTTATTCAATTATGCGATTCAAGGAAAATCCATGACCATACTTATGAATTCCGCGTTAAATTTCACTTGAAAACTGATATCATACTCATCACTTCGCGATTCGTGCAATATCGGTTTTCGCGTGCATTTAACGCGGAATTCCCTCGTCAGGTAATGGATTCTCCTACAGTAGAAGATAGCAGCGGCTAATCATAGTTAATCGAGGGGCTCGATTAACTATGGGCTAATCAGCTCATTGACCACATGACAGCTAATGATTTGCATATGCCTCTCCAGTCCGCGTACAAGCAAAATCATAGCACCGAGTAAGCACTGCTCAAGGTGAAGAACGATATTTTGCTGAATATGGAGGCGCAAAAGGTCACTTTGTTAGTTCTCCTTGACCTTAGCGCTGCTTTTGACACTGTTCGGCACGTNNNTGGATGGCAAGGCATTAAAATGGTTTGCGTCGTACCTTGCGGATCGTACACAACGTGTCACTATAAATGACGGCTTATCATCAGCTTTTCCCCTCAGACAAGGAGTTCATCAAGGAAGTTGTCTCGGGCCTCCTCTGTTTACGGTTTACATCAGTAATCTGATTGATATCGTCAGCAAGCACCTCCCAAGTGTACACTGCTACGCAGATGATACACAGCTGTATTTGGCTGTGATACACTGCTGTGCAAGGGATGGACTAGGCGGCGCTAAATGCTATGCGCGACTGCATACATGACTTGAGGAACTGGATTATTGAAGACCGACTGATGTTAAATGATGATAAGCCTGTACTAATGCTTATAGGTACTAGGCAAAAGTTAGAGAAAGTCAACTGGAATGATATTACTGTAGGTCACACATTCGTAGAGGTGAAATCAGTCGCGCGAAATCTTGGGACATGGTTTGATCGTAATCTGGATATGTCATTCCACATAAGTAAGCCTCGGCATTCTATCAATTGCATAATATAAGTGGAATCCGTAGGTTATTAAGTACAGATACCACTAAAGCCCTCGTTCATGCGATTGTCATCTCGCGCGCAGATTATTGCAATAGTCTTTTATATGGCTTGCCAGCTTTTCACCTGAGCAAGATTCAGCGCGTTTTGAATACCGCAGCAAGACTAGTTTGTCGCGCGCCACGCTACTGTCGCATAACGCCGTTGCTCTACGAGCTACACTGGCTACCGGTTAGGCAACGCATTAGTTTTAAGATTCTGCTATTTGTTTTTAAGGCCACCCTTGGAACTGCGCCAACGTATTTAAGAGAACTTGTGTCAATTAAAGGACCAGGAATTTATAAATTAAGATCCTCCTTAAATGGTTTGTTGCTTGCAACGCCAACTTATAGAAGTAGGGTTACATTGGGAAACAGATCATTCCAGGTCACAGCTTCGGCACTTTAGAATGCATTACCGCGTGAGACTCGTTCTATTACAGATCTAGGGATTTTTAAGTACCACTTGAAAACGCACCTCTGTAAGGAAGCTTTTTATTAATTTTTATTAAAATGTTATCATGATAGTTGCTAGTATTTTAATATGTGTTGTAAGCTTTAATTTTATCACAGTATATTTTTAATAACTATTATTGAGATGTAATGCGCGCTTGATCATTTGATGGAAAGCGCGCAATATAATAATTACTATTATTATTAGACATGAATTTTTTTTTTGTAATGACAAATGGAACGTTGTAAAACTGCAACTTCTGCTGCGACTAATTAAACAATGAGTTGGATCGAGTTCGAAAGCAAAGTGGCCAGAACATCCCACTCACTTGTATAATAATGTAAAATAATAACGATATCTATAAAAATTATAGTAGTAATGATGATCGCAATAGTAATAAAAATTATAGTAGTAATGATGATCGCAATAGTAATAAAAAGTATTAAAACACAAAAGGGCTTTTTACTTCTTTTCGTAAAAAGAACTTTTTGAGGAAAATGTTTAGAAAATGCTATTTTTCCCTTGAAGCATCAGGCTTAATCCAAGGGAGTTTGGTTATTTCAACTTGGCTGAATACTTATTCAAATTTTTATTTGATTGAATAGGATCTTACGGACTAGACGCAAGGCTCGTCATTCGCACGTACTCCTATATCTTGAGTAAGTTAAAAAAGATCCTGGAGCCGTAGAGCTTATAGGGTTGAGCCGTGAAGCTCTCCTTGAGAATACAGTGTTTTGACAGAGAACATTCCACAGTAACTCTGGCTGGGGCTAAACCGTGAACCTTTTCATCTGAAGTCCAGCGGTCTTCCCATCGATCCCTACATCCCTTCTGTGGTTTAGGTAAATTGTGATACATTCTCACAAAAAGAACTCGAATTTGTGAAAAGATCAACTCTTGATTTGCTAAAAGCAGTTCATTCACGACAATAGAAGGATTTTAATCAATAGAGTGAAGGCATGAAACCCATTCGGCAGAACTAATGAGTTTGTCACCAAATCCAAATGACAAGAGCAATTCAGTTAAGGACCGTTGTCAACATCTCTTCGATTCAAACACATCTTCAGCGCTGAATTTTCCCCGTGAACATTCCTAGTAAAACAATGCTGCAAAGGGTAAGGATTTTCGTCGGGGTGGTGGTGACTGTAAAGTCACAAAAATCGTAAAAAAAAGGCAAGTTCATTCACCAGCACTACATATGCGTGTGACCTTTTGGCTCCACAGGATGCTTCTGGCTCTTTCTTACGTAACTACGGTCTAGTACATTTCAACGTGAATCACTCG